CTATACACTACTATGTCAATGTGACCTTTCCTGATTTTGATAGCCATTATGGTTGTATAAGAGAATGTCCTTGGTGTTGGAAAATATACATTGAAATATTTAGGGGAAAAGAAGCTTGATGTCCGATATTCATTTCCAAATGTTTCAGGAAAGAAAAATACTAGAGAGATAGTAATGGAGCAAATATGGAAAATAATATGGTAAAAACAGAGATAATAAGCACATCTGTAATAAAGTTAAAAAGATAACACATAAAATACAATGAAAATAAAATAGCAAATATTACAAAATGTTAACAATTGTTGAGTTGGGGAAACTATATATATGGGAGTTCTGTGTACTAACCTCATAACCCTTCTTTAAGTTACGTACATAAAATTCCAAAATGGAAATTTAAAAACATATTAAAGAAACAAAAAATACTTGTACTCGCCTTCAGCCATGAGTTCTCATGGAGTCTGGAGAGTGGACAGTCCAGTGGCACTGAGGGGTCTGGCCTGCCTGGTACCTGCCTCGTCCTGCTCTAATCCCCCACTGAATCAACTAACATCCAGCTCCAAGTTCAGTCCAACCTCAGAATATGGGTTTTCTCCTCAGAGAAAATCAAGGAGCCCTGAAACCTAGTGGTCTGGTATTTCAGTAAGGCCACGTGCCACACTGAACCAGACTTCCAGTTCCAGAAATGGACTGTTTCCACTGACCAAGCCTCGTCTTTCACCAAGGACACCTTGGAACTATACTCAGTACTGATAGGGCCTCTAATGACCTGGGTCTTTTTTTCTCCACTGGCTGTCTTGAACAGCAGATACCTGCGGCGTACTGCTCTGCCTGCCAGCACACTTCCTTACCTGTCACCTGCCTGCCTGCAGGGGATGCACACCCTACCTGCATATGGCCTGTCCTACTGCTTCCTTCGTGGCCTATCACCAGGTCTTCTCAGATGTCTGCTGACCACAGGTACATCTACATTATCTCTGACTTCCCTCTCTCCTCCCCTAGCAAATAATAGGTGCAGCATTTACACTTCTAAATAAAGGGGAGATGAGCAAGTGAATGAATATGCTGTTCTAATGGATTCTTCCTTAACTTTATTTGAGCAGAAAATTTATGTTTATCAGAAGTAAAGTTGGGCTCTAGCTGGTTTCCTCAGTGGATAGAGCATCACCCTGCGGACTAAAGGGTTCAATTTCGGTCAAGGGCATATGCCTGGATTGTGGGCTCGATCCCCAGTGTGGGGCATGCCGGAGGCAGCCAATCAATGATTCTCTCTCATCACTGATGTTTCTATCTCTCTCCCCCTTCCTCTCTAAAATCAATAAAAATATATTTTAAAAAAGAAGAAAGGTCTTTTATACTTGCAACTGTCCTATAAGACTGATACTGTTTCAAAACAAAGTGGAGTAAATGAATTAAGTCCAACACTCACAGCAGAGTCGGGCACATACCGCTCACTAACGAGCTATTGTTAGTAACATTACTGCCAGTGTCAGTCAGGGAACTATTAACTTGTAAGACCTTGCAAACTTGGAAGACCTTGCAAATGCCTCCGTTTAAGATTATTGCTAAACACAATGATAATAACCCTTAAGCCTCAGAAGCAGCAGCAGCTCCTTCCGGGAAGAGAAGTGAAGAGGGTACAGCTGACTGCAGGTGGTCAAGAACACCCTCTCCTGGGTAAGACGGGAGATCTGATCTGAGCCCTTCACTTGTTCCCACCAGGTTACTAAGAGAAGACTCATACTGAAAACCAAAGCACCGAGAATATAATCAGATGTTTCATGCTACAGACCAAAACCACTGATAATTTCATAAGAAAAAACAGTAATGTTGGGGAAGAGGGGAGAAAGGAAGAGAGAGAGACAATACTCAGTGACCATCAATACGAAATGCTCCATTTTAAGTTATATGTTTCTTCGCTATCCCTAAATTCACTTTGGGACCTAAAGAACTCTTATTAGCAAGGGGAGACAAATGGACTGGTTCTTGGGAAGTTCATGCTTCATAATTTAAAATAAAGGCATCTCCTCTCAAATGGCCAATATCAATCTTTCTGGGACTCCACTCACCATTACTTCCTTCCCCTCCTAACTCAGTAGCCTGAGTCAGAGTATGCTGACTACATATGTAAATTTGGGGTGAATCTTGTACACACAGCAAAAGTGAACACTCCCTGAGTGCAGAAATGCCAAAACCAACTCCAAAAGCAACCCCACTTAAGGGTTCAGAGTTTAGGCCAGCATTAGATTCAAGTCTCTCTCATTTGTCAGCCCCTTTTAGCTTGTATCCTACCTAAAGCTAAAAACATCTGCCCCTAGTTTTATTTTCCCAAATAAGTTTTGTTAGTTAAACATCAATGTTAACAAACATACAGTGTCACCACCCCTCAGCTAAGATCCTTAGGGTCAGAGGATTTTCAGAATCCAGAGCTTTTTGGATTTAGAAAGATACTAGAGCAAAATACCATATACTATGTAACACCCCAACAGTGTCTGAGAAATGACCACTCTTCTACCACATTAGTGCTTTGCTGTACAAGTTGTGCAAACCCACACAAAGTGAACAAATTAAGAATTAAATAGCTTCATATCAGTTCAAGTCAAGTGTGACCATCAAATGAGTGTCAGCATCCAACTTAGCATAAAAATCTTTCGATTTTTTCAGTGTTCAGATTTCAGAATTGAAGATAAGACACTATGCATCTCTCACATTTTAAAGGCAATGGTGAGTCTGTTCCCTATCATACATGTGTTCAACAAACTAATGCCATCAGAACCAAAAGTCCTGGACAACCAAGTCCCTGGCAAGACACAACACTCTGAAATATAGTAACCAGTTTAGGGAAAAAATAAAAAGGTAGCCAAACATTGGGGTTTATAATGGATCTATGTGATAAATGTGAAAAAAATAATCCAAGCTTTCAGTGCTTTCTAATATGCTAAATAAATTACAGAAATTACATAAATCAACTTTTAACTACTATCAGAAAATTTGCTATGAGATATAATAATTCTATCTTAAACTCTGGTTCCAGCTGCTCACTCGGAGCACAGTCTCTGCATTATTTAAGTGGAAGGAGCAGCCATCGGAGTTTGCAGTCACAGAACTGCCAGTCTTTACCTTCCAGTCGTCTCCCCGATACATGCGTTACCTCCCAGGATTAGTGCCAGTTTGACATTTCCTCTTCAAGTGCCTCAGGCCACTGAGTCAGCATACAGCCACCATTACATGCCAGGCCCACCCATTCAAGTGGGGACTACCGAGAAACCAGCTCACCATACAGCCCCATTCCTCACAAACTTGAAACAAAGGCAAAAATAGAGGTATCAGAGGTAAGTTCTGCAGCGATATGCACCCTGAGCATTCTAAAGATTGGGCTGCGGATGGCCAGGTGCAGAAGACACAAACAGGTTTCTACAGTCTGTTCAATCACATACACTCTCTTGATCATCTGAGCAGCCGCAAGAACTGTACACCCAACTCTGAGTTCAGAGTGGAAGCCATACCGGCTCCACTGCTACAAATTCTCATGCTCACCCTGTAAGAAGTGTGAGATCTGCCACAAGCTCACTTACAAGTACACAATCAAACTCCTGATCACTTCATCCAGCACTCCACAGCACTCACAACAGCCCGAGCAAAAGCGGGGCCCGGGGAACACCAGCACCGAGAGGGACAGGGACACGCGGTGGCTAGAAGTCAAGCGCTCACAGAAGTGACTCAGAAGCAGGGCCCGGGCATGCACCACACAGGCACGGCTCTGAGTTGCTTTTTCAGGTGAGGGACAAAGACCGTCTCCTTTGGCACACCTCACCCACACTGTAGAACAAATGGGAAGGATCACGTTAAATGACTGCCAGTGACGCACAAGGAAAATGAAGCCGGAGCTGAGTCCCTCGCTGACACAGGTACGTGATATGCCACTTTTTAATATGCCTTCAGCAAAAACAGATGCATAACCAAAACGAGTTATACATAATTGATTGATTGTGATAAACCTAAAAGTTAAACATTTAAAACACAAAAGTGACTTAGTCAATTCACTAATACATATGCTTGTGCAATATGACAACAATTTACCAGATAGTTACATAAACATGACATCACTAAAATAACAGACTCCATTGTGTCTAGACAGAAATCCAAGTTCAACTGTTCCACATTTCCTCTGGGCAACAGGAAGACACGAAAGACCAGGCAGTCAATAAATGCAAATGTAAAACAAACATTTCAAAATATAAGATGCTTTTGCAATATTACCATTGGTTATATCTGCCTTGTCATTGGAACAGGGCAAACTTCAAAAAAGAAAATAAAAGCTAAAATTCACTGTTTTCTAAAGAAAAACGGTAAGCAAAAAAGGTGACCCTTACACTATTACCACTATAGCTGTTCTACGTATGCCTTAGTAGGGCTTTACACAGCCTCTTACAACCACAACAAAAAATATGGTTCATTTTATTGACCCTAGGTTGACTGTCTTAACATATAATTTCTCAGCATCCTCCAGGAAAAGGTTTCCCCTAAAACGATTACCCATCTTGCTATTATACTTAATGAGGTTCTTCCACTAACCTCCTTGAGCCAAGAATCTTTTATTTCTTTCTAAATCCTTACATTTGTAGAAGTTTCCATGAGGTTCTAGTGATTTCAATATGGTACCATGGAAGGTATGACAGAATACACATTAAGGTAATAAATCATCTGCCAATTCATAATAAATTCAAAACAGATAAACTAAACATGTCTTTTTTCCCCTCTCTACACCCAAATTTTCTCACGTTTCCTTTTTTTTGAAAGAAAGACACTAAAGCTGCTTTAGACACCAAAGACATTCATTATAACTCCTTCCAGAGGTTTACTATAGGATTTGGAGTGTATTTGTTTTCTTTTAACCTTACTAGTATTTACCCAGATGTATACACACACACACACACACACACACACACACACAGTCAGAAAAGCAGAAGTTCTCAATGAGTGGGCCCAAGTGACTCACTTACCTTGTCTCAGGGTTATAGCCTAATATGTAGAAAAATGAATCCACTCGGGCTTTAAACTCTCTAGCAGCAAATATGTCAGAAAAATGGGAGATGTTACACTTCCCTCTGAAAATAAGCAAACAAACAAAAATACATTAGTAATACCCTCAATTGTTTTGTAAACCAAAATACTATTGGAGGGGTGGGGGGGGTGGGGGGAGTATTAACTAAATCCACATTACTCTAAGAACCTGTAGATGTAGCTACAAACTCTGTAATCATCTATCCCAACAACTGGGAGTTCCCCAGGAAGAAAATGCCCAATATAATCTATTTTTTTGTTTCATGACTGCTTCAGCTTACAAGTTTACAACTTCATTGCTTTTACGTCAGCATTTTAGTCATACAGTAAAATTAAACTACAAAAATAAATTGTGGGCATAACTGTGATGAAAGTTTATTAAACTAGAAATGATGGGGGAACTTAAAGCCACAGTTAAATGACGAAAATGGCCCTCGTAAGCCCTTCTACATCATCAGAGCAAAATGGCCTTTCCTCCTGCTACCTTACGATGGGCAGAATGTGGACTGTTCAATAGATGTTTCTCTTTTAACATACAAGAAGTAAACTGACTTGAAAATTAAAACAGAGCAATTTTAACTTTTAAAATATATGGATGCATTGTAATGTACAAACAAAACCTCCCCAAATTTTTAAGTAACATTAAAGGACTTAAGTTGAAAAACACATTCCCATAAAAATATTGCGATGAGGAGGAGTAAGATTTCCAGGTTCATCTACCAAGAAAACGTAAACCACAATATAGCTGCAAACTCTCCAGTACTGCACAACTCCTTAAGCCGTGTTTCATGCACCAAATGTAAATGTCAGCAGCATTACACCATGCAGTAGGGCCCACCTTCCCACTACACACACACATGTGCACATACACACACACATACATGTTGAAATAATTTCCTAGAAGCTAGAAAGTAGAGAGGTTTATCCTAGACAGCAGGGAGGTTTTAAGAACTGCAACTCCCTCAGTGGTTTCAGAAGGTAACTTTAATACCAAGTGGAAGCTAAAGGTTATGGTTAAAGTAGGTGAAACGGGAGGACCAAACGCACATCAAGAGTGCGCCAGGATGCTTCCAGTGGCATGGCGTGCCCTCCCTTCCCAGCATTCCACTCGCAGGGGAATCCGTGAGTGATTCCTTAACAACACACATACCAGCTAATGGCCAAGGTGTCAGTGGAAGAAACTGGCTGAGGGATCTCCACATAGGCATGGACATTCATCCACTTCCTACCAATGAAAAAGTAATGTCCCCCTTCCCCACAGGACTTACATAACGGTGGCCAAAGCCTTAGTGATGGGCAGAAACTAAGATGGGCTCTGACAATTTCCATTTTTAAAATGAAATAAAACAATCTATTGATTTACTAAAGTTCCTTTGGGAACTACTTATTAGAAGATAATGCAGGGCTATTGAGCACTTGAAATGTGGGTGGTATAACTGAAAAGAAATTAGTTTTAAATTTTATTTAATCTTAATTAATATCTCTCTATATAAAAGCCTAAGCGACCATTACGACCAAATGGCCAGAATGACAGGGAAGACCAGTCGCTATGATGCGCACTGACCACCAGGGAAAAGACACTCAACACAGGAGCTGCTCCCTGGTGGTCAGTGGACTCCCACAGCCAACCTCCCGCGGCTCCTCCCCCCAGCTGGCCGGCCCCCATTGGCCCCTGGTGCTAAACCATTCCTAGAGACCTGCTTCTGGGTCGGGGTTTCATACGTAGCAGAGCAGCTCCCTCACTGCGATCTATTGAAAGTCAGCCCTGGACACGAGGGTTTGTCTCACTCCCATCCTCCCCCTTCCCCAGGGGTCGCCGGCCCACCGCAGTGGCAGCATGGTGGCGAGGGAAGGAGAACCACACGGTGGTGGGGCGCCGATGGTGGCGTTGGCATTGGCATCCAGCATCTGTTCCTTCCATGCCTGGCCTGGCGACGATCACCTCCTCTCCCGACCCCGCCGCGGCCTTTGGTCCTGGGCTGGGATGGGAAACTGGGGATGGGTGGCAGCAGACGCAGCCCCTTTCCCAGGGGGGTCAAGGACTGGCTCCCTCCTTGGGGCTGGTGGCCAACCTCCTGCGGTCCCTCCCCCCAGGCCAGCCAACCTCCTGTGGTCCCTCCCCCACACACGATTCATGCACCGGGCCTCTAGTGTGTGTGTGTGTGTGTGTGTGTGTGTGTGTGTGTGTGTTTAAATAGCTACATGTGACCAATGGCCACCACACTAAACAGCACATATTTATATATTTCTATCACTGCAGAAAGCTCTATTAGAAGCACAAATTTGCAGCCACAACAAGATACAAGACCATACAGACTAAGCATCAACTCTTCAGGCCCAGGGCCACACGCCCAGTGTTCAGCTGGAATTAAGGAAAGTGGGTAAGATCACTTTTACAGATGAAGAATGCACTCACTCTGCACCTTACTGCCCTCCTATCTGAAGTGGTTTAGTCCCTGAAGCCAAGAAGAAACAGGTAAGTTCCTTCGCCAGTTAAACAGGGATAAAAGGACCTACTGCACCAATCGTAACAGCATTAAGATCAAATAAGAAGTCTATGAAGGCGTCTACTGCTCAGTGCTATGTAAAATAAGCTATTTTCACCATCATTGTCCATTACTAAAGGAAAGTAATTCTTTTATTATTCTTTGTTATTTCTCAAATTTAAGGTAACCCTTAAACTTGAGTAATTAATGTATTAACTAGAAATATAAAAACCCTACCACCCCACAATTCTAAACATAGGCATTAGAAATCAAATATGTTTAAGTCAGGATTTCTCAGTCTCAGCACTGCTGACATTTCATTGTCAGGAGCTATCCTGTAGTTAGCAGCATTCCTGGCCTCTGCCCAGCAGCACCCCACAGACATCACGGAGACAAACTATCTCAAGAGAATGCCAAGTGTTCCCTAGTGAGGGCAACTGGTTTAGGGAAGGACAAAAGCAGTAGAAATAGAAGGATATCATCTGATAAATGACTATGAAGCTGTAATAAACAGGACTTTAATCTACCATTACTTACATGTCCTCTATTTGCTTCCCATTTAATTATATGAATAGCCTGTTAATTGACGGAATTCTTTAGTATTTGATATCATTTAATCATTGATTCTCTGAGATTTTCCAGATATGCTATCTGATTTGTAAATAAACGTAATTTTACTTCTTCTTTACCGTTTTTTAAGCCTCTAATTGTACTATACCTCTAATACAACGTGGAAAGTAGTGGAAATAGGAGCCATCCTTGCCTGCTTCCTGATCCCAGTGGAAATGTTTCTTGGGTGTTCCATTAAATATGATACTAGCTTTAGAAATGATATCATAATCTTAGCCTTTAGAGATCCATTTTTCCCCTTAGCTTTATTAACATGACAAGTGCTACTAACAGTCTCAATAGTAACCTACTCCACATTCCTGAAATAAATTCCAGTTGGTTGCCGAAACCGGTTTGGCTCAGTGGATAGAGCGTCGGCCTGCGGATTGGGGGGTTCCAGGTTCGATTCCGGTCAAGGGCATGTACCTGGGTTGCGGGCACATCCCCAGTGGGAGATGTGCAGGAGGCAGCTGATCGATGTTTCTCTCTCATCGATGTTTCCAATTCTCTCTCTCTCTCCCTTCCTCTCTGTAAAACAATCAATAAAATATATTAAAAAAAAAATTCCAGGTGGTCATTATGTATTTTTAATGAGATATTAGAGTTTTTTAAAGAATTTGATGACTTGGATCTAGTATTTTTCTCATTAACTTCTGCTTTTATTGTTATTATTCCTGCCTTTGCGCTTTTTGGTTTTTGTTCATAGCAGCTCTATTCATACTAGCCTAGAAATAGCCCCAATGCTCACCAGCAAGGGAATGGGTAAACAAATCCTTGTGTATTTGTATAATGAAACACTACACAACAATATAAAAGAAAGCGCTACTGATACATAGCACAACATGGAAAACTCTCAAAAATTAAATATTAAGCAAAAGAAGCCAGACATGCCCTAACTGGTTTGGCTCAGTGGACAGAGCATTGGCCTGAGGACTGAAGGGTCCTGAGTTCAATTCCGGTCAAGGGCACATGCCAGGGGTTGCAGGCTCAATCCCCAGTGTGGGGTGTACAGGAGGCAGCCAATCAATGATTCTCTCTCATCACTGATGTTTCTATCTCTCCCTATCTCTTCCTTTCTGAAATAAATAAAACTAAATTAAAAAAAGAAGCCAGACACACAAAAAGGTACATACAGCATGATTCCACTTATATGAAGTTGTGGAACTGGCAAAAATAATTTATGGTAAGAGAAACTGTATGGCTGTTGGCTTCTGGGTGGGAAGTTTTGAGTGGAAAGTAGCTAAGGGAACTTTCTCACATGGTGGGACTATTCCATGCCTTGCTTAGGGTCGAACAAATTTATGAAAATGTAAACTTAAAACCTGCATTTTACTGTATATTTTTAAAGTATTAGGGGAAAATAAAAACAATGACAGTCATGAGCATGCAGCTGTGGCTGTTTAAAGTCGCTACGTTTGCCCGCTAGTGAGCCCTCTGCCCTGAGCCCCGAGCACAGAGCAGAGCGGAAGTCAGGGTTGGCAGGAGCAGGTGAGGCCACACGGATGGCTCTGACTGGGCGGCACCTGTTTGGAAATACAGATGGGGTGACTGTAAAAAAGCAGGTTTCCAGTTGTTAGTATGGAAAACAGTAATGTAATTAATAAGAATGAACTGTGTCATATACCCCCGATGTGACCCTTCTCTTGCCCACGCTGCATTTTCACAGCACCTCTTGCTGAAGAGTCGTGCTTACATTTAAAAATGTGTGTATGTGTACATTTTAAGCATTCCTTTCTTTTGTTTCCAGAGCCCCCTTCTCATTGTGCTCCCTATCAAAAGCAGTACATCATCTAACCGTGTTTGTGGAATGCAGGAGGAGAGACCAGTCAGAGAAAATCGCCATCACTCCCCCCTTGTTGAAACAGCTGGTTTTGGAGTCCCCTAAAGTCCTGTCACCCTATCTCTAAAGTGAAACTTCACTGTTAACAGAAACGTGGCTCAAGGCAGGA